GGTGGGTAAGTGGTGAGTGAGTGGGTAAGTGAGTGAGTGAGTGAGTGAGTGGGTTAGTGAGTGAGTGGGTTAGTGAGTGAGTGAGGTTAGTTGAGTCAGTGGGTGAGAAGAGAGGAGAGAGAGAGAGAGAGAGAGAGAGAGAGAGAGAGAGAGAGAGAGAGAGAGAGAGAGAGAGAGAGAGAGAGAGAGAGAGAGAGAGAGAGAGAGAAAAAGCGTGTGGTTCGTCACGTTTTCTTTGTTTCGCCTTTTTTCGTTTCTCAGAGATGAAGGGGGAATGTGGTAGAAAGGGGAGAGAGAAAGAGAAGGAGGGAAAGGGAAACTGAGGAGATAGAAAGATCACTAGTACAGTGAGGGATGAGGAGAAAGAGAGAGAGAGAGTGAGAGATAAAAGGACTGGATGATTGATAGAAGTGATAACCGGAAAGGGAAATATAGTGAGAGGAAGAGAACAGAATACGGAAAGAGGTTGGGGAAGATGGAAGAGAATAGAGAAGGAGAAATGAATGTAGACAAAGGGGGATGTAGAACATTTACAGAGGGAGGGGAGAAGAGAGAGAGGAGAGAGAGAGAAAGAGGAGAGAGAGAGAGAGAGAGAGAGAGAGAGAGGGAGAGAGAGAGAGAGAGAGAGAGAGAGAGAGAGAGAGAGAGAGGAAGAAAGAAAGAAAGAAAGAAAGAAAGAAAGAAAGAAAGAAAGAAAGAAAGAAAGAAAGAAAGAAAGAAAGAAAGAAAAGAAAAAAGAAAGAAAGAAAGAAAGAAGAAGGAAGAAAAAATAGGATAATAACGCCAACACGTGAAAATAGGTGCCCCCTTCCCCCAGTGCGACGAAATGTGCCTCGGTGTAAGAGAAATGGAGCGGGGCCACGGACGCACCTGTGTGCACTTGTACGTATGTTAGTCACACTCACACCTGTGGCAGCCGCGAGACGGTGTACCAACAGGTAATCATGTGATGGGGGGTGGGGGGGGGAGGGGTGTTGTACAGGTGTTTTTGATGCCACCTGGCCGTGGGAAGTGACGCATATTCACATACATGCGATCTGCGCCACACTGACCTCTTTGTGACCTGGAGAGTCTATGTCTCTCTCTCTCGCTTTCTCTCTCTTTAACCTTTTCTTCCTTTTCTTTCCTCCCCCTCCCTTCTCTCCCATCCCCCCTCCCCCTCTTCCTCCTTCCCACCATCCCCTCCTGATCCTTCTCTACCTCTCCCCTCCCTCCTTCCCATCTTTCCTTCCTTCCTTCCTTCCTCCCCCTTCCCTCTCCCACTCTCACCCCTTTTCATCCCTCGCCCCCCCCCCAGACCTACCCTCCTTCCTCTTTCCCTCCTTCCCTCCTTCCCTCCTTCCTCCCTCTTCTCTCTCTCCACGTCTCCCCAGGATGTGCGTTTGTATTTGTGTTTGTTTTAGGCAGCCCCTTGGCCCCTTCGTACCCAAGGGGACGGCGCGGGAGAGCCAGGTCAAAGGGAGGGGCGAGGCGGCCCGGCGGCGGAGAACAGCGCGCGGAAGGGGCGGCCGAGGGATGCGGGAAGCCGACCGGAGTTATTGATGTCTCTCTCTCTCTCTCTCTCTCTCTGTCCATAGGCAGGGATTCGCACGCGGACGGGAGGCAAATGGGGGGGGGGAGGCCTTTTCTCGCGCCGGGGTATGCAGTGGGTGCGTGGAGATGCTAATGCGAAAGAAGCGCGCGCGCACACCCACTCGCATGCACACGCACGCAAGCACGCACGCATACACACGCAAACGCACACACACACACACTGCACACACAACATACACACACACACACACACACACACACACACACACACACACACACACACACACACACACACACACACACACACACACACACACACACACACACACGACACACATCACACACACACTCACAGACACACACACACACATCACAGACCGCATTCAGAGGACCCAGGCGTTTTTTCCGGGATAGGATTGGCCGTCAGGAGGAACAGAGGCCGCCGCCTGCCTCGCTTCGGGAGGGCGGGGATCCGGTGCGTCTGCGGCGGGAGGGGGCTTCGCTCTGGGGCCCGGCCTTGACCTCGGCTGCGGGTGCGGGAGCGTGCAGGAAGGGTGTGTGTGGGGGGGTGGTGGGGGTTGGGGGTGGGGGTGGGGTTGGGGTGTTGGTGGGGGGGGGTTGTGGGTGTGTGGGGGGTTGTGTGTGTGGTATGTGTGTGTGTGTGTGTGTGTGTGTGTTGTGTGAGTGTAAGTGTGTGAGTGAGACAAGACAAATAGACAGGTAGACACAGACAGACAGAAAAAAAACAGATAAGCGAATGAGTGGGTGACTAAAAGGTAAGTTGCGCACGAGGCACTGAACATGGTTTATAAACACGAAGGCATCCCGTCCTCCTCCTCCTCCTCCTCCTCCTCCCCTCCCCTCTTTTGGAGTTATGCAACGTTTGCAAAAAACAACCACAGAAGCCCACAGCGGCTTCCTTTTCGCGCGCCTTCCGAGTGCGAGAAGACCGGTTGCGAGGTCGGCGTTGCAGGAGACGCTGGACATCGATTTACCTTCGTCGGGTCTGCGTCGGGAGTTCGTCGGGTGTTCGTCGGGGAGTCGGTGGAGTCATCTGCAGTGCCTCACGCGTGTTTGTTTGTCCTTGCTCGCTTTTTTAAACATCCAGGAGCCCGGTATCTTTGCCGGAAATACTTGCGATTCGGATTTTATTATGAGCGTGCATTAGTACTGTATTTTTCTTTTTTTTTCTCTCTCTCTTAGTATGTTGGTGATCTAAGTGGGTCACGTGGTTGGCCCATGTGCATCTTTCGTGGAGGATAATTATTTTAAAGCACCTGTAAAGGCAGGGAGAGAGGAGAGGGAGAGGGAAGGGAGAGGGAGAGGAGAGAGAAGAGAGACAGAGAGAACGACAGAGAGACAAAGAGAGAGAGAGAAGACAGAGACAGAGAGAAAGAGACTAATCTTAGTTACACAATTTAGCAATATCTTCGGGCGGAGATAATGCCATCCTCTGTGCCACAGGATGTCGATTTTTTAGGTGCGTGCCTGCGTGTATTGGATGCCCGTTGGAAGGTCTCTGCGTGCTTGTGTGTGTGCGTTGTTTATTTATTTAAACATTGGAGAATTTATGCATTTATTTAGTTACGTATTGGCTCGTTAGTATTTATTTGTGTTGGAAGCGGTGGTTGAATTTATTGGACATGTGATACGCGCGTGTGTGTTTTATGTATGCTGAAGTTAATGAATGAATTGATCAGTGGATCTTCGTGCTCGGGCAAGTCGCTGCCCCCCTCCCCCCCCCTCCCCCACCACCACCACCACCACCTTCACCACCACCACTACCACCACCTCCACCACCTCCTTCCTTCCACCACCACCACCTCCTCCTCCCCCTCCTCCTCCCTCCTCCTCCACTCCTACCTCCTCCTCCTCCTCCTCCTCCTCCCCCCGCCCCCCTCCCGGCTTCTTCGAACTTACATTGATTCTTCGACAGGTTGATTTTTATTCGCCATTTTTCTTACGATGTGCAATTTGACATCCAATTCGATAATGCTTGTGAATCCAAGCCCTGCAGCCCTCCCAATGAGTTTTCGTGTCGCGTGGAGACAAGGTTAAGCCACGAGTCTGGGCACGCGTTGTTTCTAACTTATTAACGAAGGAACTGACTGTAACTAAATAAAAAAGAAGGAGAAATCTATTACCTCTGCGCTGACTAACATAAATTTTAAAGCCGCCCCGTGTTGTAGGTTGCAGTTTTGCGGAGAAAAGAAAAGAAAAATCGGAGATGGAGAAAGTTCATCGTTGTATCTATTTGTGTAGGGAATCCTTCTTTATACTCCTTATACTTGCCTGATTTCTCTCGAGGGCAGTGTGGAGTTTGGCTTCTTTGAATGTTATATGAAACTGCTTTAATGTGATTTTATGTTGATTTGGATTTGACTTGATTTGATTTTTAAGTCGACGTGCTTTGGAATCAACTTCACTGCCAATTTGGTTTGATTTATTGTTCATTTGACTTGAAATTGAGTTGACATGAAATTGGTTTTGGGGTTTTGTGTGTTGGGGTCTGTTGCTATTTTAGAAGCGAGTGTTTAACCTAGACCTGAGAGGGAAAGGGAAAGTTCCAGACGCAAATATTGGCTTTTATGGAGACAAGTGATTTCAGTCGTGAGTGAGAGTGAAGTTTATATTTGCACCTCGCGAAAAGGTCACATCATGCTATAAATCCTCTCTCTCTCTCTCCTTTAAACCCATTTGTAAAACTCACTGTTGGGGGGAGTAAAAACATGGGGGAAAATAGCAGTTACAAAGGAACACGAAGGATTTACGTAATCGGTGTCTTAACAGTGTTTGTGGAAGGGACGTAACATGTTTATTTTAGCTATTGGAAGATGGAGAAAAAAGATGGTTATTGTATACAGGATTTTTTTTTTTAATGGGTGCGCGCAATATTGGAAGATGGAGAAAAAATGGCTATTGTATCGAAGATTTTTTTTTTTTTTATGGTTGCGCGGAATTTTGGATTGTTTTTCAGTCGTGTCTTGTTGGTTTGAGCGATTAACCTACCACGTAAGGGAGATTAGTTTTCCTGGTATTACTAAAAAAAGAAAAAAAAAATGATAGAAGTACTCACGTTGGGTCTTTGTCCTTGTATCCCACTGGCGATCTCTTGTGTTTTTTCATAGTCATGCATTGTCATTCCTGCTACCTGTCTGTAACTGATGGGTCATTCCTTTGAAAGTGAATCAGGTGAACTTGATACTGGGAAAGGGTTTTTGAGAAAGTGTTATGATATTCAAGTATAAGTTTTATTTTTCATTGTGACGACTAAGTATTTTTTTTTCTTTCTTTTTTTTTGTCCAAAATGAAATGTTGGTTTGGGTTTCCATATCAGTCATTGAAGAAAATCTTTTTCACTTATTTTTAGCTGTTCTTTGTGAGTTTCATCACATGTCATATCAAAAAGCATGAATCTATTTTCAAAAGTTTTTTATATATTCACGCTTGTCTCACACTATTTCCAGAGACCAAGGGAGATACGTGAAGACGAAATGGAAAAACGTAAGAGTGGGTGACATCATCCATCTGTCCTGCAATGAAACCATCCCGGCTGACATGGTTGTTCTGAACTCCTCGGACGAGTATGGGATGTGTTTCATCGAGTCTTCCAATCTAGATGGAGAGAGCAACCTGAAGCAGAGGCAGGCTGTGAAAGGGCTTGGCATGGTGAGTTCAGGGTTTCTTGCGTTTTTGTAATGTAACGTATATATTTTTTTCCGGTAAGGACATGCTGTTAACGTTTCCATGTATATTGTGACTTGTATTAAGATTTTTTTTCTCATTGTGGATGAATTTTTGTGGAGTGTTTTTTAAGATATTCTTACATGCAATAACGTTTTCACATATCTTCAGTCCTTTTTAACTCATTGTCATCTTTTCTCTCTTTGGCTAGCAAACTAGAAGCGGAAGTAAAGATAGATTTGAAGAAGGAAAATGAACTGTTGTGATAGTGAAGGATACCTATTCAAGATCCTTTTTTTTTTATTATTGTTGACATTAATATCCTATCTGATTTCAGGATGAAAGGTTTGAGGTGTCGAAGTTTGACTACATGATGGAGATTGGCGCTCCTTCGACCAAGATCTACCACTTCACTGGTACCATCCCTTTACCTTCAGGGGAACGTGTGCCCCTCACCAAAGACAATCTCTTGCTGAGAGACTGCGCCCTTCGAAATACAGATTATATTGAAGGCATTGTTGTTTATGCAGGTAAGTCTGATTGCCAAATTTTTAAGATGCACTATGCACTGTATATACTATTTTGCAACTTTTTTTTTACTCTCTCTGTTAAGTGGAGAACATTTCTAATGTATACCATTTCACAGGACGTGAGACAAAAGCTATGTTGAATAATGGTGGCACAAGGTACAAGCGTTCCAAGCTTGAGCGCAGGATGAACATCGAGGTCATCTGGTGTGTGGTCATCCTGTTCATCATGTGCCTCGTCTCTGCAGCAGGATCGGGTCTGTGGCAGGTACGTCCAGACTTCAAATTTAGGGACTCGGTTCAACTGAGTTTTTAGCTCTAAACATTATTGTATTATGGAAGAGAAAATAATATGGTATTACAGTGCTGTATGTTTGTTTTATCTGTTTACTTTTTAACCGACAGAGTTCCTATGAAGTGAACGCCACGTTAGGGTTGGTCCCGTTTATTCCACTAGAAAGTTTGACGGCGACCAACTCAAAATTGAAGCTATCAAATAACTCTATATGGGTTGGATTTATAAGTTTCTGGACTTTTGTAATCATTTATCAGGTATGTAGGCTATAGAAGCTTATTTTATCCTTTCTTTTTCTGTTAATGAAGAATAGTATAAGAATGATATGTTTTCAAATGCTAAAAGCCCTATTGATTTAAAGAATTATGCTATACTAATATAGAACACTTTTAAGGACAATGAATAGTCAGTGGATTTCATTTTGACAGTTCCAAAACAGGAAGAATAACAAATAACCTAAAAATTAATGTACTTTAAAAGGTCAATGATATTCACATTTAGATTAACTTTCTAATGAGGTTAGGAGTAATTTGTAAACTAGAACAGATCTGGATAATTTCTCATTTACTATTTATAATGTGTTAGAACTGAATTTTCATATGAGAGTACAAGTTTTTGGATATTTTCTTTTGTTTTACATAAAGGTTTGATTTTTGTGATGGTATATGCTTACTAAAGATATATATTTTTTTTATCTTATTATGATCAGACTGATGCTTATTGTTTTTTCGTTTTTGTAATTTCAGGTTATCATTCCAATCTCACTTTATGTAACCATTGAAGTAATAAAGTTGATGCAGGTTTACCATATACATAATGACAAAGACTTCAAAGACAAGAAAAGTGGGAAAACAATTGGTAAGACAACATGCACTTTTCATTACCCTTTCATTACCTTTTATATATGATAATTTGCCCTTTTTTAAGGAGATTGGGAAGCTTGATTGCTATTTCTTGATTACACATTTTTATCCTGTTCAGACATGTTCAGAACATTTTTTTTATATCTAACGTCTCCCATTAACAGAGTGCAGGGCGCTGAATATCCCTGAAGAATTGGGCCAAGTGGAGTATGTGTTCACGGACAAGACCGGAACACTGACAGAAAACAACATGGTCTTCCAGCGTTGCTCAATTAATGGCACTGACTACCCGCATACTCCCGTTATTGTCAACAGGGAAGAGGTGAGTGCTTGGGATGATAGGTAATTTTGATTATTTGATTCTAAAATGAATAATGTTTTCCTGTGAATTTTAAAATGTTTGGGATATATTATAAGGAACTTTTTTGTTTCCCAGAAAAAGTCTGATCAGCGGGACACATTCACTGTGAACAATCAGCTGCAGGAAGATTTGGCCTCTGTTGAACTTCCAATGATTTACGCTCAGCCAGGGAGTCGACAGAATCCATCCTCCATCACTCCGGCAAAAGATTCTCCTTCTCAGAGAATAATTGATTTCTTCTTCACCCTGGCAGCATGCAATACTGTTATTGTGGCAAAGTATCCACATCACGATCAGGTTTGTTTCTTCAGAGATTCGTTTATGTGGATATGATGATACAGATGTAGGTTGATTCATTTATGTGGATATGATGATACAGATGTAGGTGATTTTGATATATCTATTTTTAACATTTTCATCCTCTCTTCCAGATGAATGCAAGTGGTATGATAGTGCCAAATGAAAGTGCCAACAATTCCAGTATTAGTGAGGTGGACAACACTTCCTTCAATACCACCACCAGTAGTATCGGTTCCACATCTTGGGCTCCGAACCGTCTGTTACGGGGCCTGCTCTCATTTTCCCGCCCACTGTCCCCCATTGCCTCTTCTCCACGCAGCACACCCCCACTCACCCCAGAGGCCTCACCACGTTACTCCGTCCCACCTGCTCGCCAGACTCCACCCTCAGTTAGCATCACCCTTAACCCCATCAGCCACTCCAACAACCTTGAGAGTGTCCAGGAGTCGCCTGGCAGCCTCAACCATTCAGCCAACACCAGCCCAACCAGACCTTCCCTCCTCAACATCCAGGCAGCACAAATATACAACTCTAATATAATGAGGGATACACGTTCCCTCACCCCTTCCCCCATGGACATCAAGCCCATCTATGAAGCTGAGAGTCCAGATGAACTGGCGCTTGTGGATGCTGCGTACAAATATGGGTGTCGCTTACTCAGGAGGTCCTTGCACAATATTCTTGTGTCTTTGCCAGGTAAGCAGGGACCATAATTTTGTTGCCATTGTTGGTATGGTCAGGCTTTGTTTCATTTTTGTTTGCTTGGTTCTGAGTTTGTGTTTATCTTGGAGATATCTTTTTTTATGAAAGTTTTCATATGACGAAACTCAATAGGACATATCTTACATAATTTTAAAAATTGATTTTGCAGGATATGGGCTTCGTGAATATGAAGTCTTGCACATTCTTCCATTTGATTCAAATCGCAAGAGAATGTCCATCATTGTGCGAGATCCTGAGACACAGGAGAAGGTTCTTTATTGCAAAGGTAAAGAGGATGTATTTCAAATTGAAAAGCAATGCTTTTATGGGAGTTTATGGAGTGGAAAGTTTGTCACACCAATAAGTAATTTCTATAATCCATTTAGAAGGGAAGAGGTTAATACAGGTATACTTAGATATTCAAATATGTCCATACACATACAGGTGTAGATGAATAATGTTTATATTGATAAGTATTAGACTATTACATTATAACTGTTTTTTGTTCTTTCAGGTGCTGATTCTGCCATACTAGACAATTTAAGTAGAGCTGTAGATGATAAGACCAAGCTGAGAATATTCCGCACTCAGCAGCATCTTAACATCTACTCTAAGAAAGGTCTTCGTGTCCTTTGCATGGCCAAGAGAGTCCTCACAGAGGCAGAATATGAGGACTGGGCCATGAAGCACAAAGAGGCTGAGAACGCACTTTCAAACAGAGAGCGTAAACTCCAAGACTCATATCTTAGAATAGAGAAAAATTTAAGTTTAATAGGTAGGCTTTGGGCTGTGCTTTTTTTTTTTTTCTTTTATTACTCCAGAATTGAAATATATTAGGTTTTGGAATATCATTTTGTTTTTAGGTCACATTGGTCTATTGTTCATATTCTGTATGATTTCAGGTGCCACTGGTATAGAAGACAGATTGCAGGATGGTGTACCTGAAACAATCAAGGCCATGAGAAATGCTGGTATTGTGGTGTGGGTGCTAACAGGAGACAAACAGGAAACGGCTGTTAATATTGCTTATTCATGTGCTCTGTTTTCTTCTGATATGGAGGTAAGATACATAATCTTTCCCCAATATAGACTCTTTGAGATAGTGTTTGTGAAATGTATTCATTTCTTGTCAACATGTCTAGAACACTGATTTTTAAAAGTTATTATTATTTTTACTATGTATTTGTCTGTTTGTTTATTCCTCATTTCGAGATAGAAATATAGATTGCTGATTGTTACTAATTTTAGTTTTACTGTATATATATTCACAAAGGATATCTGTTAATATCTGTTGCTTATTTCAGATTCTGAAACTGAATGCTCGCACAAAAGACCAAGCGGACAGAACAATTCAGTTCTACACACAACAAATAGAACAGCAAGAGGAAGCCTGGCAGCGGCAGCAGTTACAGGCCGCAGCCAATGGTAGTATTGGCGCATCAAGAGACCATGCTGTTGAATTTTCAAACCTGCAGAACGACAACAGCAATCAACCCAGACCACCCAAAGAACGAGGGCTGGTGGTTGATGGAAGAACTCTTATGTAAGTCTTTTTATGTTTTATGATGGGTATTGTTATTGATATTATATATTTTTTTCTTTCTTTTTACATTTATTTTATTATTATTATTATTATTATTAAGGGTAGTGAAATTGTTAGTAGTAGTGGTAGTAGTAATAGTAGGAGTAGGAGTGATAGTAGTAGTAGTAGTAGTAGTAGCCGCAGCAACAGTAATAGTAATAGTTGCTAGTAGTAGTAGTAGCTGGTAGTAGTAGCAACAGTAATAGTAAGAGTAGCTAGTAGTAGTAATTTTACTAATAGTGACAGTAATAATAGTAATATTAGTAGTCATTATTGTAGTAATAGTAATACTAATATGATTATTAGTTTGTTATTAGTTTTTGAAGTTATAATGAATGATAACTAATGTGATATAGAATTTTATGATGAAAGGTTTTGCAATCTGAGTATCTGGTATTCACAGATTTATTCTGGATCGACGGGCAAATTTGAAGAAAGCTTTCCTTAATCTTGCTGGCAAGTGCTCTGCTGTATTATGCTGTAGAGCAACACCTCTACAGAAATCTCTTATTGTTCGAAGTGCCAAGGATAGTCTTAAGGTTCTTACTTTGGCAGTTGGTGATGGTGCCAATGATGTGCCAATGATTCAGGTAAAGTGAATTTCATATTATGTCTTTAATTTTGTATTTTTTCACTTTTGAATTATGAAAAAGAGAATGGCCTAAAGGTTTTGAGAGTAGTATGTTTTAGATTTGTCTATCCATTAAGTCTCACAGGTATTTGATCAATAAAGTATCTGAAAGAAAGCAGAAGTATTGGAAATTTTCAGATAAGTAAAGTAATTCTTTTAAGCCTGAACGACTTAGATTTGATTTATGCTAATAACTGATTAACAATTTAGATCATAAAGTGAAGAATAAGGAGGTAGTTATGATGTATATATGTATAATTACTGAATATGTCATCATATTTTAAAAGCTAATATCTTTTGCTAACCAGACTGCCGATGTGGGAGTAGGCATCTCTGGCCTTGAAGGAAAGCAAGCTGTGATGGCGTCGGATTATGCTATTGCCCGATTTAAACATCTAGAGAAATTACTACTAGTCCATGGCCATTGGTGCTATGACAGGCTTTCAAGAATAATTTTGTACTTCTTCTATAAAAATGCTGTAAGTTTGTTTGTTTGTTTTCTTTTTTAAATTTAATTCATCAGAAGTGTTGAAGTAGTTTCATGATAACCCTTTAGTTAATATGGTATTCTGTCAAAATTATGTTTTAGAATATTTGTTTAGCCATTTTTGCAGAATTTTACAGTCATTAGTGAAAATCATTAATCTCATCAGAGATATCAGTCCACTGTCCGTAAGGAAACAATTTCTTAAACAGAATGTTATTAGTGAATGAAGATGCCCCTAAATAACGGTCTCTTATTCTTTGCAGTCCTTTGTAATGATCCTGCTATGCTACCAGCTGTACACTGGCTTCAGTGGGAGCAGCATGATTGACCAGATGTACCTGATGGTGTTTAACCTGCTCTTCACCTCAATCCCTCCCATTATTGTTGGTATTTATGATCAAGATGCGCCAGCAGAGGTGCTGCTTTCACAACCCCAGCTGTATGCCCAAGGCCGGGAGAGCAGACTCTACAAGTCGCATTCCTTTTGGATCAATATTGTTGATGCAATATATCAGGCCATCGTTTTGTTCTTCTTTGCTGCTGTTGTAAGTATTGACAGGCATTTTCATTCATGTTGATTGATGAAATTTGATGTTTGTTTGTACTTATATATATATACATGCATACATACATGCGAACACACACACTTATTTATTTATGAAATATATTGATTTTTTTTTTCTGTAGAATAAACCTATTTTAAAGATTCTACTTAGTATATACATTCTGTCTAAGAATTACTTTTTAAGTTTTCGTTACTAATTTAGTCAGAATAATCTTAGTAAATGTTTGCATGTGCAGCTCCATGAGGACTCTGATGCTGGGATGTATGAGTTTGGCTTGACTATAACCCATGCCACCCTTGTGACTCAGCTGCTACACCTTAGTATTGAAACCAAGTCATGGGTAAGTTTGACTAGACAAGTGTATCTCTTACTGCTGAAACATTTTTTTTTTTTTTTTTTCTTCCATATTTTTCTTAACTTCTTATTTAAAATGGTGAATAAAAATTGTGGTTATACTTAGTTATGTAGTTAGCTTTTGTATATTTAGCTGAGTTAATGTATCTTTTCGTCATTACAACTCAACTCATTTCACCACGCTTCCCCTTTTCAGACGGTTATCCATGTCTTTGGAATCGTGGTTTCATTCATAATTTTCTACGGGTTTGGTGTGCTTTACACTATGACTTGTGTATCGTGTTTTGGGTCACCTAGTCAGTTTGGAGAGCTGAGTCATGCCATGCAGTCTCCAATTCATTGGCTGACGGTCGTTCTCACGTCAGTACTTGCAATCTTACCTAGGTATGTGCTTCATTTCTTGTGGTTTTGTGCATGTTTGGTTGATATTTCCAATTTGATGCCAAGTAGTGTTTCTGTTTTGAGAGTTATTATTTTCACTTTCACTGTACTACATGTGTTTGCAATTGATAGTTATCCCTTTAATAGCCTATAATTATTCTTTTAAATATTTAAAGAGTCTTATTTTAATAGTCTTTTTTGTAGTATTGTTATTGATATAATGATTTTATTTTTATTATTATTATTCTCCTTCATTAATTTCTCAGAATCTTGCATAGAGGGACAGGAGTACTAATGAATCTTGATGTAATGCAGCATTTATATCCCCTAGGCATTTGTTTAAATCTTTATATCTTTGCCTATTGTAATCACTGTTTCAATGTTTTTTAGGTTTGTTGTTCGCTCTCTAAGCTGTTCTCTAAATCCTGACGACATAACTCAAGTTTTGATAGAGAACAGACGATCCAAGCGCCATGACTACATGACCTCATGGTCAAGATCTACCTCTTCATCTTCTGTGTACAGGTAATTTTTTATATAAGAGTTTTACATCATTATTTGTGTTATAGACCAGACATCTAGCCTCTTCAAAAGCTTTCTCATGATCTTGATTCTTTTATAGTAGTTAATTGAAAATAAACTGGAAAATCTTGTATCTTTTGCACACCAGAATATACCTCTCAGCATGAAGTCACTGCCATTTGCATGAGCATGTTCAAACATTAAGAAGATGACTGCAGATGATAAAAATCAAAAGAAAGGATAATAGAAAAGTATACTGACTGGATATTAAACAGACAGATAAAGAAACAAGCAGATGGATGAATTGGCAGACCTCAGATTGAACAGAAATTTAGTTAAAATTTCAACTTCCATTCCTTGTAAAGAACATGAGTGACTTCCAAAGATGTAGATAGTGCTCAGTCTAGATTCACAATTCTCACATTCATATGATCTTTTAAGATAATGAGACAAATAGTATCATTACTAGAAAGCAGGTCACAAGCTCATTTTAGCTTCATAGTTGTTTCACACATACAGGAGTGTGATGATAATAAGAATATGAAATTAATTTTGTATGAATTTCTTTACATGCTCAATCAAGGAATACAAGTGATATCCCTGACATAGTTATTTCTTAATCCAGATGCTCAAAAGTTTTTGATATTAGGTATGTTGTGATGGAAGGGATGAGGCTAAGGATAAAAAGAGTAGAATATTTATGATGATTTGATCATTTTGCAAATTAGACAAATAGGCAGCAAGGGACTATCTGTAATGTGGCTCCCCCTTTGATTAGTAATTAGTCTCTCCTTAGAAGTGGCTTTATTGGATATTGGAAATTTTTCTCTTCACTCTCTTGAAAATGTTCCTCTGTTTCTTTGTCTTTTTTTTAGTATAGATCTCATTGTTTGTGGGATGATTTTGGCAATATCTGTCATAGACTATTCTGTTCATTTGCAATTGAATGTAGCTTTCAAATTCAAGACAGAAAATGTTGCTATACATGTAAAGATATGTTTTTTTTAATCATTTTTTTTACCAAAAACAAAGCACCTTGCTTAGTACATTGCTTCTTAGATTTTATAGAAAGTGCTTGGTTTAATATAGTCTGTTAGAGATTAACATATTGCTTTTGAGCTAGCTACTTTTTGTTGTATTTATGTAGCACTTGATTGGAGCAAGTTTCTGCTTTTTTTACATTCAACATACATGAATTAGAAAAAAATATTGTTTGCTTTTGAATACTTTAAATATTTTTAGTTCTAAATGAAGTCTCTTTTTAATCAATTTAAATGCACAAGTCAGTTTGTCTCAAAATTATTTTTATTTTACCTTGTTTTAGACCTAAACAAATCTATATGAAGTGAATATGAAATCATAATCTTTTAATGTAGTTTCTGTCCCTTAGTAGTTTTCTTTTATGGTTAAGGTGATTTTCTTTTATTTGTGATTCATCCAGGTTAATTTTCTCTTAAGCATGTTCATTTCAGCTTCTTACATTTATTAAGAAAAAGTCTTTCTTGGGCACCCACTCAACACTCTCTATCTTGCTACAGACGCCGAGAGCCTGACCACTAACCTTAAGAGTGGGCCAGAGGAGGGCAACGATAACCTGATAACTTGCAAAAGTCCCGAGAGGAACAAGAGATCAATTTTTTCCCCCGTTGTTTTTGCTTGATTAAAAAAAGACAGAAAGAATTACAGCAAATTTTGACTGATTTAAAATGGTTGTCTGCTTCTTTTGTGTTTCTATACACTCAAAAAAAAAAGAAAAAAAAGAAAAGAAAATAATAAATCAAAATTTTCCCATCTTTTTTATTGTACATATATCTCTTTTCAATTTCCCAATAAGTTTACATTTCATGGTATAGATTATTAAGATATTCTTCCATGCAAGTTTTTTCTTTTTCTTGCAAACCTCTTTAGTCTTGACATTTCAAGTAATTAAGGATTTATCTTGCATTCCCTGGATGCACCGAATGTTCCTGGCAATAAAGGAATCAGACCCAGGTTTGTTGCATGTTCGTTTTGGTTTTCTGGCTTTATTTTTGATCAGTTGGCGCAATGTAGAACTTTGATATCCTAATTGGTCTTTCGTCTGAACACTATTCCGCTTCTTGCACTTCTCAGGGTCTTTGAGGGATTCTTTTTGTAGATTGCCGTCTTGAGTGTGTTTGCCGTTATGTGCTTCTGTCTCTAATGTTGATTTGTTTATTGTACGTCTGCTTTTTTAAAGTTTGTTATTTTATTATATATTATTCTCAGTGTTTTGTTATCTTGTTGATTAAAAAATGAAAGGAGCTTGTTTTTTGTTTATTATTATTATTATTATTATTATTATTATTATTATTTTTATTATTTATTATTATTATTTTTTTAAGTATGAATACAGTTTAGATGTGAATCCTGTTTGATTAAGTCATCAGTAAATTGGCTAAATAGAATTGTATTAATTCTGTATAGAATACTATAGGAAATTATTTTTGAAAAACATGAATTGTAACACGGTAAAACATTCAATGTTGACAAAACACTTCAAATTTGATTCTTTTCAAAACCTTTACTCAATATTGATATAGAAAGATTTCAGAAAAAGGGATTTGCAAAACTTTGGTCACAGGGCTGGTAGGGTATCAGTCACTTTAGGTTTAGGTTAGATGTTTCATTTTATTTATCTATTTGAATGATGTATGCGTTGTGCGTGTGTATGTAAGTATGTATGTATATGAAAGGTGGAATAATTCACTGCCATATTGACATGAATAAATAACTTAACCTCCCCAACCAGGCCTCGAACCTCGGTCACTGCACCTAAGCAACTGCATTTTTCCAAAAATACACCTCGGTACTTCTGACTATATAAATTTCCACCGAGTGCCCACAGGGAGCGTGTGTTTGAGTAGATGGGTAATGTCTGCATTTACAGAAGCTCCAAGCTGCACACTCCTTGTAGTGGGTCGTGTGGTAAGGTTGGTTTAGCACCAGTCTCGCAGGATGAAGGCCTGGTCAGGGAGGGAGGTTGTATTACTTATATATATATGTGTGTGTGTGTGTGTGTGAATGTGAGTGTGAGTGTGAGTGTGAGTGTGAGTGAGAGGGTGTAAGAGTGTGAGTGAGTGTGTGAGTGTGTGTAGTGTAGTGAAGTGTAGTGTGTGTGCATGCATGTGTGGGGCTGTGTGTGGATATATTCTATTTGTTATTATTTTTCTTTATTATTGCTAATGGCATTGTTGCTGTCATCATCAGAACATCATCATTAACGTCAGTCATAGTTAAAATCTTCACAGCTATTGTTTTTGTCATTATCACTGTTTATGTCATTGCCAGTGTACTATTATTAACATTGCTATTGTCAACGTTGTTTTGAGTAATCACCAATGTTAATGTTGCATATATTATTATAGTTAATCTTCTTTTTCATTTTGTTTTTATGTCTTTTTTAGTAATGTATTTCTTTTATGAACAGGAGTACTGATGATGATATTAAGGAAGCAATATCATAGTGATTATCATTTTAATGTGAATGGTTTTGTCACTTTTATATTTGTGTTTAGTTTCACTTTTATATTAGTCTCTTGATACGATTAATGTCATTTGTTATAGATGTTTTCCCTGTCTTCATTTGTGTTATCAACATCATCTGTATCATAACCATTTTCATCAGCTTCTTCTGTATAAGTCATTTTTCATAGTAATTTTAGTCACTTCTTGTACTTTATTTTTTGTCGCTATATATGTATGAATTTGTTTATCCATGATCATTGATAATTTTTTTTATTAGTATACTTTTATTCCGGACATAATTCTTCATGTAGTTCGGTCTTGTATTATTCATTTACCCATTACACCTGAGGAGACCTACCTAATCCACCTTTTTCAACCCACCAGGCCCAACTATGAGGCAGAAACCGGTGACGAAGCCTCAGAACCCCTAAGCTCCATGGTCACCACCACCACAGTCCTAACAACCACAGAAGAAGCTGAAGTATGAGATCGATTCTTAAAGTGGTGGAATTCCTAGTGCTGTTATAAAGGAAATGAGTGAGCGATGGTTCCTTTACGTACTACTGTGTAGAACCAAGTGGAGAAAAGGTGTCTGTTGAGTGACAGTGGTAGAAGAGGTGGTTCAAGCTGCGTGGAAATTAAGGTGGAAAGGTGGATACATGCAAATGTCTGTTGATTTTCTGCAACTTTGGTTTGAGGGAATGAAGTGATGCAGTACTTTGCAGATTGAAAGGGTAAAGGAAAAAGAAAAAAACAAATTGAAGACAATCATTGCAATATGTACACCATTTTATCCATCAACAGATAATTGTGAAAATGGGATGCGATTGCCAGAAAGTGCTTAGATGTGGCTTCAGTGCTATAAGGCAGGTCTAGTTTTCTATTAATTTTTCGCCAGTAAAGCACCACCTCAGGAAATTCAGGTAGTGTAACAGTGTCAGAAAAAATGTCCGAAAAAAAAAAGAGAATCTACTCGTAAGTAGTATATGTAGTACTTTATTTATCATTGTTATAATTATATTCAATGTTGTTATTATTATTTTTTCCTTCTTTTTTACTTTGTGATTTGCTCATGCTTATACATGCCTCATAAGTTTCCTCCTTCATCTGGAAAAACTTATCTGATACTTAAAAAAAAACAATAAAACAGTGGGTATTTAAGTGCAGTTGTCAACTAAAAATTATGAATATTACGTTTTCAACAGTTAGTTGTTTATTTTTGGCCTGAAGTCAGAATATGTCAGAGATCATGGCTACAGTTATCTTGTCACTTTGTTGTAGAAAACATTTGTATAAGGAAGGTACATATCAGATTTTTTGCTTCATATTAGTTGAGGATTTATCCAACTTGTTTTTGCTTTTTTTTTTTTTTCTAAGACCATTTAAAAATCCATCATTGAATGGGAGAAAAGGTAATTAACGGTGACATAATCCAAGTGATTTTTTCAACATTCCAGTAATCTGTAGTAAGTGAAGGGTACTTAACATGTCAAAGCCAAAGATGCTCCCAGCTAAGATGTGACTGTTTTTGGAATGCATAGATAGAGAGTACTTTTACATAGGTTTAGCTTACTTCTTCAGGGGACTTGCAATTATGTGCCTTCGTGGTTTTGTCATGTGCTTCCATACTTGCGCAAGTCTGGAAGTTGTGCCAATGAATGCTGTGACAAATATGGACTTTGTTTGCTGTAATTTTAGGAATCAATTTTGCGGTGAATGCAAAAATGACACAAGTCTTGAATGATGCAAGTTATGATTGTTTATCTATGTTCTTTATATTTATTTTACTTCGTGATCCTGATTTATAAAACTTCTAAAGCATACATCGTTTTAGATATTTCTATTTGTTGTGGATATTCAGTCTATCCATATTCTACACAATGATAAAGTTCTGCAGTATTTCAGATTTTTGATAAGTCATCGTCATTGAACATAATTGGTAATGAAAGTCATTTCTACGCTCAAGAAAACAAAAATATACAGCTAAGGAAAATTGTTGGTGATATTTGATGCTATTTTTTTAAACAAAAGAAAAATAGTTTTGCCTTGCTAAATTTTCCAACACCAGGCCTTGTTGTACATTGAATGCCTTCATATTCCGAGATGCTATGTATATTACCGTAAGACTCTAAGTAATCCTCACTCATTATTCAGTCTTTAATTGTAGGATGTCAAAGGGACCAGAAATTATGTAATGATCTGTTTGTGCTGTTTTTTTTTTCTTTTTTTCTTTCTCTTCTTTTTTATCCTCTCTCTCTCTCTGCAGAAGATTGGAAGCTTTTCAGATTGTTTTAAGTAGAATTTCCAGCTACTTTACTCTACATAAATGAATACAATATGTGATTTATGAAGCATGAATATTTTGCATGTTATTTATATATATATTTTTTTCTACTTTGGTGTTAACTTGAAGAAAATTACCTTCATTTATAATTACTCTTCGCAAAGGATGTTTTCTCATTAACTTATCTAAATGAGTTTATAAAAATTATTTAAATCTGCCGGACGTTTTCCATTTGTAATCATATTCATTGTCATTACTGGTAAAGGAGGGCATTATTTCAATCATGAGTTTATGAAAATGCTACATATGATAGCAGTGAGGTTATGTAATTCCTTTATTACTAAAATATATTGAGAAATCTGAAGTATAATGCTGTACTCAAATACAGTATCTGCCATATCTTGGGCATTAATGCCTGCAGTCTTTCTTGTGCCAAATAGGCCCTATGGAATAATTTTTTGGATCGAGAATTTGCAACCTGTTACGATGAAATCACACTGAAATTAATAAAATTGCATGATGAAGGCTTTTGTCAAGTATGCATTATAGAGCACAGTTGCAATGCTGTCGAGTAACATGGAGTTGTGCACACCAAGTTCATGATATTGGATTGCTAGCATTATCTTGCATTTTAAATCTTTGTCCTTTTAATGTGAAGTGTCTGTTGCCTACTGTGATGCCACAATCATTTTTTTTTTTCTTTTTCTTTTTTTTTTGAGGGGGTTGGGGTAAGATGCAGTTTAGTTGGAATGAAACAAGGTTGTACATAGAGTTTCAGGATTAATGCCAATGATCAGTGAGTTAAGGTATGATTTTTTTTTTTTTTTTTTCCTTTTTTTTTCTTTTTTTTTTTTTCTTTTTTTTTTTAGCAGTATTTGTAAACCTGTGTCTGATAGTTTGGCATTAAGGTTTGCAGACTGGAAAACTTAGTATCTGTACTTTTAAAAAGAAGAATACAAATTCAATCTTTAATTTTATACCATTATTTATTTAAACAGAAGTTCGGTGAGAGTTTCCTTTCTCTACAAGTATTCTAGTCAATTTAAGGTTGATTGTTTTTTTCATTGTTTGTTTTTGATATAGAAAAAAGAAGGTACTTAGCCAATTGCTAGCGTAATTAATGCTGATTACTGTGCAAGTAACATTTTTTCAGCATTTGCCATAAATTTTATGTACAGTGCATACCAGGATAATACCAATTCTTTTCATTAAGAATGTGTTGAATACATTCCAGTAATTTTTGTGTTGTAATCGCTGGTGAACTGATTAATGTATATATTGAATTACCTTATTGGAGGTTTTTCTTAATAGCAGTTCAGGTATTTGTTACTTTTATCTGAATTGGAGTTATGATTTTGGAGATACAAGTTCGGTCCCGTTGTTAACGTGAAACAATATCCCTGTGATTTGTACATATATATTTGTCATACTGTGAATTGGCTACACATGATATATATTTGAAATACCAATGATTTTTATTGTAATGTCCATGATAGAGAGTTTTAAGTATTTTGGCATTTCTTGTTTTTTTTCTTTTCCTTTTTTGAGGGTAGATTTGTTGCATTGTGAAATTTTAGTTTATCTAAAAAAGTATATATATCATGATGTGGCTGAGGGTGAAGATACATACCATACAAACTATCTGGATGCTGTGTGTGTAAGCATTGCACAAGATATTGTGTACTGAAAGTTTTGTTGAAAATATATTTATAGGCCATAATAAATATTTTAGTGTATTTTAGTTGTTTTATTCTCTTTGCTCCTTAATACCCTTGGTGTTTTTTTTTTATTTGGTGACAGAGGTAAGAATGTGTGGTAAGAATAGTAACGGTATTTTGAATTTATTTTAACATAATGAGAAATTATGCATATTCACCCACATTTAAAGAAAAAAATGGTTTATTTCGCCATAACAGATGCATGCACACAAGGATATTTAATTAAAATGAAATCAATAGTATGTTAAATTTTAAAATTGTGTTTATTTATTTTGTAAAGGCTAATAATTGACAGATTTTTTTGGAAAAGAAAGAAAGCAGAGGTAATGTAATGTTAAAATAACAAGTTCAAGTCTATGCATAATTCACAGGAGGTATGAAATAGATTAAAAATTATATGAAATAGAAGAGTTGTAAAGTTTTGTCACTAGAAATTCACAAATTATGTCTGTATAGACTCGAAAAATAAAGACTTGGTGGAAAGATCGTACAAATAGGATGGCATATAGTTATCTGATTATCTCATTTTAGAAAATGTCAACTGATTTTTTCTAATTCAAGGGCAACACCTTGAAGTGTTTTATTTTTATTGGACATTTCTCTATATATTTATAGGATATATTTTGAGCTTTTACATGAAAGATTGATGGGAAAAGATATGTAAAAAAAACTAAATGATATGCCACCATTAAAAGATCAAGTCAGCTGTCATATTTATGATATTGCTTAACATTCATTTAGATATCAAAAGGAAATGCAACACCACTAAATGAGCAATTGTAAATTCATTACAATTGCTGATTTTCATTTTCAATTCAGATATAGTATTTTGAAAGGGGAAATGCTTTAGCTTTATTGGGAGAATTTATTGCTCTCGAGGAGTGCATAGTCCATAGTATGGCAATGAAACGTGCGAACATAAATGTAGGACTTTATTGGGTATCAAAATCATTCACACTGAAGTTGGGAGAGTATAACATAAATAAATAGATTAAATAATTTTTTTTTTTTTTAACAAAGCAGACTAGATGTATCTCTTTGGGAAGCGCTTTCTCTGGAGGGACTTGTGATGGAAATATTCTTCTCGAAGTCCCTGGATAAGATGCGACGTGACCTTGAGCTGTTGCTGTTTCATCAGTAGAGCTGTATGGGATGACCTCGACGCGTTGACGATCTGGAGGAAGTCGAAGTTGAGGGCGTCGCTTCCTACCAGAAATCCGTCTAAATCCTTCAGCTTGGCTAGGGCGTGGCAGTTGTAAGGGAAGACCGATCCCGAATAGATGATGCGAGTTGTATCGGCTACGTTATCGCCCAAGTTGTTCCGCAGCCAGTCCCGCACGAGTGCCAGGGCCTCCTGCACCTGCTGGTTCGTGGCGATGACGCCCGTGT